CATAATTTTTTGTCCCGTTTGGATGCGATTAGCCTGACAGAAGGCCGGGATGTGTTTCGCTGGAACCTTACTACATCAGGGTCTTTCACCGTAAACTCTATGTATTGTGTGCTCACACATTTTGAGGTACCTATGAATAATAAAAAAAATTGGAGGTCGAAGATACCACTAAAAGTTAAAGTCTTCATGTGGTATCTTCATAGGGGCGTTGTGCTAACCAAAGACAACCTCGCACGGCATAATTGGCAAGGGAGTAAGAAGTATTGTTTTTGTACTCATGATGAGACAATCAGATACCTCTTTTTCCAATGCAACTTTGCACGTTCTACGTGGTCAGTCATCCAAATAGCGTCAAGTTTATATCCGCCCACAAGTGTTGCCAATGTTTTTGGTCATTGGTTGGACGCTGTTTCAAATAGGTTCAAAACGCTATTAAGGATGGGAGTGTATGCCTTACTATGGTCGCTCTGGCTACGTAGAGATGATTTTGGTTTTAATGAAAAAAATGCTTCTCCTTTGCGGGCTATTTTCCGTTGTACGCACCTCGCTTTGTACGTGGTCTATGCTACAACGAGCGGAGGTCCAACCGATGTTCAAGCCGGTGTATACGCGATTGGAGCAGGTGGCTACGGTGGTTTTTACCCAACATGGGTGGCAGCATAACCTCCGGATCGGTCCATCTCACCTTTCGACATAGGCACAATGTCAGTCTATAGGACTCTACTATTGCCGATTTGTCGGTTTTTGTTTTTTTCTGGTTGTCAAACTTTTGGTGTTTGACGGTGTGCATTCTAGTTATGCAGAGCCCGAGTGTTGCTCATAATACTTTGTATCCATTTAATGCTACATTTTAAGTTAATAAAATCGCTGTTTATCGAAAAAGAATCAACAGGACGTGCATGGACTGGCTTATTTAGTGGGTTGCACATTGCATTGTGCGTGCGGTGCATGTAATCGTTGAACCAACGTGCAACATGGGAGCTCAAGCTGGCACGGACCGATCACCAAGCAAATACTGACTTTACTACCGTGCGTATGCGTGCACCGACATATGCAACGCCACGACGACACGACGCGATTGGCTATATAAACTCCCATCGGCTTATGATCGAGGTACCTGATCAAGCTGAGCTACCATCACAACACACATTTTGCAGGGCACGCAGACGCGCCACGGGCGAACCAAAATGGCCGCTGCTTTCGTCTCGTCGAGGAGCCTGGCCGCCACCTGCCTCCTCGCCCTGCTCCTCGCCGGCTGCCTGGCCGTCGCGATGCCCACCGCCGACGCGCGCCGTCTCCTCGTCGAGGCCATGCCGCCTGCGGCGTCCCCAGGGTTCGCGCCGTCGCCGGCGTCGGGTTCTGAGGACGGTCACCACGCGGGCCGGAGTCTTTTCGAAGGTCGTGGCCTGCTCGCCGGTGGGTTCCGGCTCGCGGGGAGGTTGCTCATTGGTGTTGAACTCTGAGTGCAAGCACCTCCGGTGGCCGAACCATTTCGCCTTGTTAATTTGCTGCGTGGCTCAGTGGGCGGGCTTTGGATTTCGTCTGCGCACTATTTTTTTGTTTTGTTTTATTATTCGCAATTGCATTTCGTTCCCCCTGTTTCTGAGGAACATATTCTTTGTCGCTACTTTCAAATTTTGATTTGATATTGTTTTGGAGTTCATCGCCATGTCATGTCAGCGTTGCTGTGTAAGCCTGCATTGGTTGAACCGAGGCAAGACTGTATTTTCTATCTGTCACCAAGTAAACACATGTAACTACATATGCTACTAAGTAAAGCATTAGGGATTGCCGTATCAGACCATATTAATAATATGTTAATGTAAAAAAAATACTTTGTTTATACCTGAAGAAACGATCCATTGCTGCCATGGAAGATGGCGCGCGCTTATGGCAAGCCGGCAACAGGGATCAACAACGGCCATCACAGTATCACCATTTGCTCGAGTTTGGATGCAGAGGAGATAGAACGATCACAAATAATAGTGTTTCCTGGTGATGGATGATGGCAACAAGGGGGCGGCGGTGGCGATATTAGGAATTTGAGACCAAATCGTGTGAGCTAATTGACACCTTCTAAGGTTTGAAAGACAAGCTAATCTAATTCTAAAAAAATAAAGACTAACCTTTTCCCCCATTTGGTTACTCATCCGGGCGCCCGGCCGGCAAGATTACGTTGTCGGATCGACAGCGGCGCTTTACCGTCCTCTTCCCTTCTCGACTGAGAGATTTGGTAGAAGATCTAGCAGATGGCCGGCGGCAGGTTCATCCCAGGAGCAGTTTCATTTTTTAGCAGGTTGGAACCAAGCAATTAGGTTTAGATTAGAGGAGACATGAACGGCTGATCCATGCGTACTGCTTCCTAGCGTGACTCTTCCATGGTGGGCTACTTTCCTTTTTC